CCACGCGGTTTCCGTAGGCCAGACCTGAAACCGCTTGGCCAAGATGCGGTTTTGGTCCAGAATTATAAACCGCACCTTAGAGGTGCGGTCCATAAAAAAGGGTGCTATTAGTGTAAATTTTTTCGGTTGGGTGCTATTTTTGTAATTTTTTTAAAAGGTGCTATTTCTGGAAAAATCCCCACAATCCATTCTACAACCTTTATGTTTAATTATTGTTCGCTAGGTGTTCGTCTATGATTTTTTGCACAAATCATTGTTTTTGTGTTTTGTTATTGTTCGCTAGATTTTCGTCTATGGCTTTTTGCACAAATCATCGCCTTTGTTAATTTATAATAATAATAATAATAATATAATATATAAAAGCCTAGGTTTGAGTTACTATTCATTAGTGACTCTCACACTCCTCCAAGTGCAAGTGGGAAAGTTCCAAGTTCTTCTTTTACTCCACTCTCCATTCTACAACTTTTATGTTTAGTTATTGTTCGCTAGTTTTCGTCTATGGCTTTTTGCACAAATCATCGTTTTTGTGTTTTGTTATTGTTCGCTATATTTTCGTCTATGGCTTTTTGCACAAATCATCGTCTTTGTTAATTTAATTTAAAATATAAAAGTCTAGGTTGAGTTACTATTCATTAGTGGCTCTCACACTCCTCCAAGTGCAAGTGGGGAAGTTCCAAGTTCTTCTTTTACCCCACTCTCCATTCTACAACTTTATGTTTAGTTATTGTTCGCTAGGTTTTCGTCTATGGCTTTTTGCACAAGTCATCGTCTTTGTGTTTTGTTATTGTTCGCTAGGTTTTCGTCTATGACTTTTTGCACAAATCATTGCCTTTGTGTTATCATTGTTCGCTAGGTTTTCGTCTATGGCTTTTTTCACAAATCATCGTTTTTTTGTTTTGTTATTGTTCCCTAGGTTTTCGTCTATGACTTTTTTCACAAATCATCGTCTTTGTCCACCATTTTGCAGGCCATCTCGAAATACTGTCGACGGAATTCTAAGTTGTTCCCAATCACCATATTTCAAGGCCTCTACCACGAGTTTTTTATCGGGACCGAGTTTCATCCTCTATGAGTTTTTTATCGGGAATGAGTTTCATCCTCTTAAGTGTTTTGTTCTCTCATTTCTTCTTTTTTGTTCAGTAACCCAAACACATGGCTATCCTACCTTGAACATAAATCATCGCGAAATACTGTCGGCGGAATCCTAAATTGTTCCCCACCACCGTTTCCCAAGGCCATTACCACGAGTTTTGTATCTGGATCGAGTTTCATCCTCTTTAGTGGTTTTTTCTTTCTCTTTTTCCTTTTTATTGAGCATGCTCACAATTGAACCCAATGCCGCTACCAAAAATCCATACCATATTTACTCAATGTTGGCAAGTTTTGTATCGGGACCGATTTTGGATCACAATTGAACCCAAATCCATGGGTATCCAACCTAATTCGATCCGATCAAAGCAACTTGAAACAGACTTTAGCATTTATAAATTTCTCTTTTTTCTTCTTTTGGTTGGGAAGACAATTGAACCTGAACCTAAGGTTTCGACGAGTGTTATATTGTGAACGAGCTTTATCCGCTTTTGTAGTTGGCAGGTTGGACCAAGTGTTAATTTGTTAAAAAATTATTCAAAGTGAGTTGAACACATTGTTAACCAATTTTAGATCGAAAGGTAGTTTTGTACGCTTTGATGTTTTTTTCTTCTCATTTTCCTTTTCGTTGAGAATGACAATTGAACTCTGACCCATTGTTGACGCGTTTCTAATCGAGAGCGAGTTTTATATGCTTTTGTAATTGACAGGTTAGGTAAATTGTGAATTTGTTAAAACTGGGTAGACCCGGTCAAAGCGAGTTGAACGCAGTGTTGAGAATTTGGGGTCATGAGCGAGTTTTATCCGTTTTAGTATTTTTATTATTATTTTCCTTTTGTTTGAGAATGACAATTGAGTCCAAACGAATGGGTATACAACCTAATTCGACCCGACCAAAGTGACTTGAACCCAATTTTAATTTTTTTTGGCGAGAGCGAGTTTTCCTGTTTTTGTAATTTGCGTGTTGTGTTGGGGGTGAATTTGTTCAAAACTAGGTCTAATCAGGTCAAAACGAGTTGAACTTGGTGTTGACGAGTTTTGAGTTGGTAGCGAGTTTTAACTTTAGTGTTTTTCATTTCGCTCTTTCCTTTTGTTTTAGAAAGACAATTGAACTCAAATCCATGGGTATCCAACCTAATTTGACCCGATCAATGCGAGGTGAACCTCCTCAAACTTGCAATAAGTCTAAAATTTTCATAAAGGAGAACCATGATTACCTCAAACCCAAAAAAAGCCAAAAGAGTACGACAATGTTTGGCCCAAAATTTATAAATTTTATGTTTCAAAATTTGAAGTTAAGCCAAACACCTCTAAAGTTTCGCTTTTTAAAAAACTGAATTTTTCATAACTTAAAAGTAGAAGCTCCGAATTGAAAATACAAAATTGTCCTTACCATATATTATTCTTTTTCTAGAAAACATAATTTTCTTTTATTTATATCATTATAAAAAAATAAATTAAAAAATAATAATACTTTTTATTTTTAGAATTTGTATTCATATTTTATGTTAAGAAGCTGTTGTAAATAATCTATAAAAATTACAGTAGGAACAATTACTTACCATACAAATTGAAACTTTATGAAAGAAGTTTAAACATAAATAATCTATTCGACGACCCTTCTACCTTATGCAAGTTCATTGATCATATATGCTGTTGTAAATAACAAACCTATGAAAAGAAGAGCACTTCTACTATGCTATATAGTATTGGTGCTTTAATGTACAACTTGAAGTTGTACCATAACATTAAATGTACAAGTTTAGGTTGTACCATAAAGGAATTTGTATCATTATGTTATGATACAACTTTACAACTTGAAGTTACGTTGTACCATCACATAAGGTACAAGTTTAAGTTGTACCATAAAAGAATTTGTACAAAAAATATATGTACAATCTGAAGTTGTACCATAACATTAAAGGTACAATTTCAAGTTATACAATAAGAGTAAAAACCTATAGCACCAATGCTATATAGCATTGTAAAATTACTCATGAAAAGAATGAAATAAGATTACTCTCATTTTTGGGTGAACATTAAAACTGTTACTCTTTAAAATATTTATTTTTCTAATACGCGATGCTATACGAGCGGACTTTTGCTAATATTAATTAATATAAGAAAGAAAGAGCTCATACTATGAATATATTATTATTCCTAAGAGTTTAATTAATAAAACACTTGCACGCAGTAGTGCAGTTTAATTATACAAATAAATTAACACAAAGCGCTCACAACTTCCCAATTGTGCGTTAATCAATCGCCACTGCTCTCGATCTAGTTTCTTACCCTCTATCCTGCCAGAGAAGAAAGAAAAAATAATTGATTATTACGCGTGCTGCATATAATATATATGATCAGGGTTTATAATTTATATATAGTTCCCATTGGTCATTATCTTAAACAAGTTGGATGACCATTTATCTATGTACCTAGCGGGTAATGTATCCTAATTGTTGGGGGCCGGCGGCGGCGGATATTGCTATATTTCAAGGTCGAGAGTCGGCACATCAATGAGGTGGAGAGGCCATATCAATATCAATGATGAGCAAGTTTGGTCTCAATAACATAGTGTGTCAAATGTTTGGTTATAGAACCTTTATTTTATTTATGTTTCTCTTATTCATAGTCATCAAATATAACTGCCTCTTTATAATCGCTCCTCTACTTTTTGGTCTTTGATGTAGCTCGCTTAGGGGTGGGATTCGGTCGGTAAACAATTTACCGTTTACCGAATTTACCGGTTTCGGTATACCGAAGTTGGCCAAACTGGTTACCGATTACTGATTTGTAACCGGTTTACCGATTACCGAATTACCGGTAAACGGTTACAAACCGGTATTACCGAAATACCGTGAGAAGCGATTTTGGGCGGTTTTTCTGTCAGTTTACCGAACCGAATTTCTGGAAGTGGGGTGATGTTGTAATATTTTGATTTTTTTGAGTTTTTTTCATCATTTTTATAATTAATAATTTATTATTAACTCTTATTTACAATATTATTGAGGCCTATACTTACATTCATGTATGTAATATTATATATTTTTGGGGGTAAAGCAACAAAACGCAGCGCAACACTAGGGAGTAGGGACTAGGGAGGGGGGATTCGGTATCGGTAATACCGATTTACCGTCGGTATTTACCGATACCGTGTCCGGTAAACCGACTCCCCCAACTTCCCGCTCGGCTACCGATACCGCCGGTAAACGGTTTACCGTTTACCGTTGATTACCGGTTCGGTAAAACGGTAAACCGTTTACCGAATTACCGTTTACCACCCCTAAGCTCGCTTGACGCCCTTGCTTCCAGGCATACCACTTGATACCTTGACACCTTTAGACAATCTCCAACAACCAAATGCTAGAATGCCATTTTCTTGACATTTTGGCACTCAAAAAATGGTTTTTGCTCCAACAAGCAAAACCAAAATGCTAGAATGCCAAATCTTCTCCTTTTATGATAATCTAGTTTAGTGTAGATTTCATTACTTGAATTAGATAATTTGTAGATTGTTTGTATACAGGTAGCAATAATTAATTAAGACGAACATTTCAATAATTTTATTTTAATTTTGACATTAAAAAATTATTGTTAAATATGATGTCATTAATGGCGAAATCACAATATTTTGTTGGGAAGAAGATATAATTAATTTTTATTTATTTATGAGAATGAGAGAAGAAATTGGAAGAGATGAATTAGTTGAAGTGAAGAAACATAGTATATTTATAGAGGAAGTTGAGAAAAAGAGCTGTCAGAGGCTAATAGAGCCATTGGAATTTAATGGAAGGACTGAAACTGAATTTTTTTTTGTCTTCCCAACGGTTAGAATTGGAACCTGACGCGCGCAGGGGCGGGGGGGTGTCGGTTTGAAGGAGGGGAGGGGGGGGGGGATTTTGAGCCAACTTTTGACATTCCTTGTCTTATTCAATTTGGTATTTGACAAAAAATTCTAGGATTTTGGGCATTTTAGCATTTCCAAAAGCTTGTTGAAGGAGTTTTTTTGGTATTTTTGGCATTTTGAGTGAGTTGTTGGAGATGGTCTTATGACTTCACTTGATAGTAAGACTCTTGTGTCATGGAGATGTCTTGTTTGGTGGCTTGTCTCATACCCTACTAGGTATGCTTGTGTCTTGCATGCTTGGTTGGACGTGAGGTGACGACTACTTAGTTGGGTGACTCATGCCTTGCGCCTAGTTAGTGTATCATGCTCGACGGGCGAAGGCTTCACCCTTAGTGGATGTAATGATGACCACATTTTTCTCAAGTCCCTTGATATTTGATGCCCTAGTGTTACTCATGATGACCATTTTGCATGACGTCATGCTTGTAGGGTTTTGATAAGGTGGTATACCATGTGATGATATACATGACGGACACTTAGAAACTTTATGAGTGGACCCTAGGTCTTAGATATCTAAATCATAGAGTCTAACTCGAAGATTTGTGCATGTAATTTTTTGCATATATTTAGACAAATCATGACCGTTGATTTTTGTTTCTAATTAAATTGATCTTATTGTTTGAGATTTATAGAATTAAGACCTAGATTATTGTATTTAAGGGTTTGGGAATACCAGAATAGTACCTGATGCCAAACTCTGGTCAATTCAATATCTAGCTATCACCTGTATATATGAGTCATACTAGTGTACTCCTAGAGTATAGTATACTCCACGTACTCATAATGAGATATCACTATCTAGACCATGAATTAAATCGAGTTTGGAGTATTGATACCCAAATCCAAAGTTCAATTTAATGGAAACTAATAATTAATCGTTGATATTGGTTGGAGCTTATTAAAGTTCATCTAACTGCTCCTCCTATATATATATATACACACGATCATGAGTGCAATAAATATGTTTTCCTTCGGCACGACGATTTTTAAGGTGATTGTCCGCCTACTTTTTGGGCGACCATTTTTGTTTTCAAATCAGTGCAAATAAGATGAATTAGGAACACATTTACATTATATTAATTAATTTGAAAATTGTTAAAAGAGAATTTGGTGGCAAATAGCAATTGTGTTGACAGCAAATAACCTACCTCTTCTTCTGGGTTTACTTGCAACGGAGGAATATGTTGGAAGCCTTTTTTTTTCTATTTTGAACTATTAATTTTAATTATTAATGAAATTAAATATTTCCTATTATCTCTTATTTTCCTTTTTATTTAGTTAGTACTCATTTCTCTCTGCTCCTCCTATTTGCTAGCACACTTAAGAAACTGCTTAAATTTATAAGTTTAAGCACATGATATGACCCGAATGTTTTTATACTATCCCAAATCACATAAGCTTTCTGGATCCAAATTAACATTTTTCAATGGTTAAGAAGCCCACAATCGCATTCATTTATAGTGTTTGTATTAACTAATTTATTTTTATTTCCATTTCATATGATTCATGATGATAGTCCACAATGGTATTCATTTGGCACATGGAATTAGAGTAAGGTTAAATTGAAATGAGCCCATGTTAGATGGATCAAGAAACACACTACTGAACCTAGTGAGTGGTGCATGGTCCAGTAGATCAACAAAAGACGATCCCTTGTTTTATGTTTATTTATCGTTCACGCTCGCACTAAGCAAAAGTATTACAATACAAAGACGGCATGTATAAACACATACATCTATGTTTTTTAAATCCAATATCAATTCATATATATGTGTAAAAAAAATTGGAAGATGAGATCGAATAGAAATAACAAAACAGTAGATTGATTGTTAGCTTTAGTTTGCATTAGTTAACAAAAAAAAAAAAAAAAAAATTCACATCCAATATTCTTTACTTCCTGTTATGCATGCTTGGGCTGGATCCCAACAATGGTTAATTAATGTTGATATTTTTCATTAATGAGAGATTTAATTAATTGCCATTAATCAAAAGTATTCAAAATCTATATATGAAGAGTCATCGTCTGTGGGGCTGACGTGCCCGTTGTGCTTGTGATGTCCTTCGGAGTGTGCTGGGGTGGCGGTCTTGTTTTCTACAGCCATGGAAGCAAAAACAGATGGAGAAGCAGCAGAAGTAGTTGGGTGTGGCGTAGCGGAGGAAGAGGGTTGCGGTGGGGGTGGCTCTTTGCTAGCGTAGTGAGAGAAGTCGACGGGTTCAGGGACGTGGGGAGGGGCAAGGCTCCTGACTAGAGCCCAGTTGAGTCCTTCGAAGAAAGGATGTTGCTTGATCTCGGTGGCCCCACGCTTGTAGGCAATCCGCTTGTGTGGCTCTTTCACAAGGAGTCCTCGGATAAGGTCTCGGGCCGGATAGCTGACCTGTGGGCTGTCCGGGAACCTCAAGGGCTGGCCCACCACGTTGTACAATGTGGCCCTGTTTCCTGAGCCTTTGAAAGGGGTGGTCCCGTGGAGGAGCTCATAGAGGAATATCCCAAAAGTCCACCAGTCAACTGCGCTTCCGTGGCCTTCTCCTCGTATGATCTCTGGGGCGAGGTACTCGTGGGTCCCGACGAAGGACATGGATCTCACGTTGGTGGGCTCCGCCATCAGCTCCGGGAGGGACCCACCCACAAAGAGTCCGAAGTCCGACTTGGACTTGCGGTTCTTTTTGCTAGGGAGGATGGAGCGAGGGAAGAAGGTGGAGGGTTGGATGCAGCCGTGGACCGCAAACTCCTCGTCTAGAATGGCCCCCCCGCCGCTGCCAAAGGCATTGGTCGAGGATCCTACACTGCCAGCGAGCACGGCAGGTCCTCCTGAGGCGGCGGCTGACGTACCAGAGGATGAAGAGCCGCCGCCGCCGCCGCTGACGGAGGAGGATTTGACGAGGGTGGGATTGACGGAGCAGCGGAGAGACAGGTCAAAGTCGGAGAGCATAATGTGTCCTTCATCTCGGACAAGTACATTCTCAGGCTTGAGGTCGCGGTAGACGATGCCAAGCATGTGGAGGTACTCGAGCGCGAGGAGGACCTCAGAGGCGTAGAAGCGAGCAGCATCCTCAGAGAAGTACTTGGTGGGTTGTTTCTGGCGGAGAGAGTGGAGGTTGCCACCGCTGCAGAACTCCATGACGAGGCAGTAGAACTTGTCAGTCTCGAAGTAGGAGTAGAGTGTTGGGAGGAAAGGGTGGTCGAGGAGTCCAAGGATCTCCCTTTCGGTCTGGGCGCGGAGGAGCTTGTTGCGACTGGCAAGGGAGGCCTTGTCCATCACCTTCATGGCGAAGTGGCTGGTGGTGCCACGGAGCTCTACCAGGTAGACACTGCCGATGTCACCGTACCCAAGACGCTTGAGGAGGCGGAAGTTGCTAAGACCCATGGCGCCTCGGCAGCTCACCACGGTGTTGATGGAGTCCCACCTGCTGTCCCCACCAGTGTGTGGCTTCAAAGATGCGTTGTTGGTAACACTACTGGTCATGGATGATGAGCTATCTATGTTGTCGTTTCGGCTGTTGCTGGTACTTGCAGAAGTACCGCTACTAGTACTACTACTTGTGGTGGTTGTAGGAGGCCTTGTTGCACTTGTAGATGGGAGCAGCCGCTGATTGTTGTGCATGATGACGTTGTTGTTGTTGTTGGTACGGGGATTTGACTTGTTGGCGTCGCTACTTTTTGTTGCGAATGCGGTAGTTGTGTGATAGTGTTGATGATGGTGGTTAGGGTTGGAGTCGTAGCTGGTGGTGGTGGGAGCTGCTGCATCCATCCTTCTGAATCACATGGCGTCTCTACGATATATTAACTTTGTTGTAAAAATCACCTGCACACATGTATTGTTTATTTTTTCGTCTTGCCCACAATATAGTTTGTATTTCGTAAGACGCTCATGCAAGCACGTATAATTAACGCATTCATGAGATATTTTGTATTTCATTACTCTAATCATGATCATGATGAACATATGTACTCATCAATTATATATGCATCGTGTGTATGCAGGTAATTATTTGGTATACATATATATATAGTATAGGCAGGTACTGCGGCCCAGATATAATGAATTAATCAGTATGAATTCAACTAAACAATACCATCCCATGAATCTAACTATTTACCTCCATGCATGCATATACACATGAAATTATAACGTGTATGCTGGCACGTACAGTGCAAGTGCAAGACATGAAAATTCAATTTCATCGATAGAATTATTTAATTAAGAAAAGTACTGGATAATTAATAAGAACATTATATATGGTTTAGAGAACTAACCAGGAGGTAATCATAAATGCGACAACATTATCGATCAAGCTGGGATCAGAAAGGGAAACATAAGAAGAAGAAAGAAAAAAGAAAAGGAAGAGTGAGTGACTGTGTGAGAGAAAGGTGACGATGGGGAATTTCTTACAAATAAATTAAATTAATCAAGGTCCCGCCCGTTTCTCTCCGGCCCTTTCCATTTAGAATCTGGAGATTACGTAAAGGAAAAGCAGATCGTGGAAGAGGAGGTAGCGGCTAATTAATTAATGATATACGAAGATCATCCATATATGCATGCATCATCACAGGCACTGCTATAACCACATCAGGATGTCTGCCGCGGAGGGATGATTGATTGTTTGGGTTTGTGTTTGTTTGTTTTTGGTTAATTAGGTTTTGGGGAATGGTGTTTGGCATATGCTTTTCCAGGAAAGTCAGGGGGAGATTTTTGTGGCGATACCAACAATCCTACGCATTAGCTCATCACTAAATTATGGCAACATAACATAAAGCAAATTAAAGAAAGTCTCCCAAAATCCATGCATGACAAATTAAATATTTGCCAAATAAAGTCTAGTGTGTAACAAAAATACTACATTCCGTGGAGGGAGAGAGGGCAATTGACGACGAAAGGAAGAGAAGTGGTCGTCCCTTGGCCCTCCTATTAACAAGGACCCGATAAAACTGCATCTTCTTCCAACACCGTCATTGCGTGTGCGTGGAGATCGATAGGTGATCATTAGGAGCGACACCATGATATTTTGAAATATATATGATTTCAACATATTGTTCGATTGATTGTTTTTTATAATATTGATCGATTGGTTTTCAATCACTCACGATTCCAAGATTTTATTTAATTATACCATAACAATTACTTAAATCACCTATAATTTTACATTTGTTCCATCATCTTTTAGTTTTAATGTAATGTAGTTGTATAAGAATGTACATCTACAAAGCAGTTCGACCTCACTTATCATATCATACCTTCTATTTTATAGAGTAGCATAAACTTTATTTTTTCTTATAAAAAAAATTATATGTGATATGTGTGCCCAAATGGGCCGGGTCAACTTACCCTTCCTGCTTCGATGATGCGATTTTAAATATCAAAGTGACAATGCTAGGATGTCCTAGGGTCGTATTACACAAGATCTTCTAATGTATAACTACTCACACCATACCATTCATGACTCACACGAAAACAAGAGAAGCATTTAGGGGTTTACATTCGACTAACAAGCAAAAATAAGAGTTTTCATACCACATCAATATGCAAGAACATCATACCACTTAATCCAATCATCAACTACTAACTATGCATTAGAGTTCAAAACTATAGGGTGAATCTATTGATAAACATTTAAACTTTGAATGTATTCTACAATCAACTTGGCATTTCTTCCAGCACTTTGCCTTATTCAGGCTCATACTCTTTTTTCTTATTTTTGAATTTTCTCTTGCAAACAACTAGTTTTTTCTTTTCTTGGGTTTTCTCAAGGTCGGGAGTTCTTTTTGAACTTTACCCTTATTGGTCAAACAATAGATTAGAGCTTCTATACCTCAACTCATGTGGAGGGTCAATGAAGTTCAGGGGTGTCGGAAGCTCTATTAGTGACCTTAAAAAAGATTCTGAAGTTGGAAATCAATTCGACAGGTGTAAATTTTACTAGAGAGGAACTGATATCACCTTGTAGGACTTGTAAACCAAGGCAAAATCAGAAGAACACAGCGGATTAACGTGGTATCCTCAACGAGTACCGTTGAGACTAATCCACGGAGAGGACCAACCTCTCAGAGTCAATCGTATAATCTTAGCCGAAGAATTCTTAGGTTACAACAATGACGGCAGCTCAACTTATATACTCCACCGTCTAACCCTATCTCAGCTTATACGTAATTAAACATAATTACAATATGCTACCTATACTTCTAACACCCTCCCTCAAATTGATGGTACTTTCGCAACATCAATTTGTGTGCCAGAAACCAGTGTCGTGAGGTAGCAACCGCTTTGGTAAGCAGATCGGCAGTCTGATCTTCTGAAGTAATGTAAGATAATAGAATTTGTCCTTCTTCAACTAACTGTCGGATATAATGAACATGAACCTCAATGTGCTTCGTACGATCATGAAGCACAGGATTAGTGGCAATCTTAATGGCACTAGTATTATCTGCATAAAGACGCATAGGAGCAGAACTGACCAGACCAAAACCAGCCAACAAACGACGCAGCCAGACAAGTTCAGAAGTGACCTCAGACATCGAACGATATTCCGCTTTAGTGGAAGACTTCGACACACGATCCTGCTTCTTGCAACGCCAAGAAATAAAGGCTGAGCCCACCTTTACACACCAACCAGACGTGGAACGTCGGGTATCCTGACACCCGGCATAGTCAGCATCTGCATACGCCTCTATCTCGGGAGTTCCAGTCGCAGGAAAAAATAACCCAACATCCTGCGTACCACTGAGATAACGCAAAATACGCATAACAGCAACCATATGAGAGGACCGAGGGGCTGACATGAACTGACTGACGACCTGAACTGCATATGCTATATCAGGGCGAGTATGCGTCAAGTATATCAAACTGCCAACTATGCTCCGATACAGAGACCCGTCAGGTAAGTCTCACCATCATCTCTGTGCAATCTCAAATTCTGTTCCATGGGCGTGGCGCAGGGAACACACTCTTCCATGTGTGCCTGCTCTAGCAGGTCAACCACATATTTTTGTTGACCAACAAACACACCAGCCGCGGATCGATGAATCTCCAGCCCCAAGAAGTATGAAAGATCACCTAGCTCCTTGAGGTTAAAAGCATCTCTTAGGACTCCAGTGAGAAACTCGATTCCATCCTGGTCATCACCACTAATGACCATATCATCCACGTAGATAAGAAGTACAGTAAGACCACGAGATGTTCTCCGAAGGAACAATGAAGGATCATTATCACTTTGTTGAAACCCAGCCTGCAAAATTGTACTCTGAAATTTTTCAAACCAGGCACGAGGCGCCTGTTTCAAACCATAGAGAGATTTACGAAGCAAGCAAACCTTCGACTTGTCCCCATTCAAGTACCCAGGTGGACATTCCATATAGATTGTCTCTTTTAGATCACCATGTAGGAAGGCGTTCTTAACATCTAACTGTGTCAACCGCCAACCCTTCATGGCTGCAACAGCAAGCAATGTCCGAACTGTCTGCATCTTAGCTACCGGAGCAAAAGTCTCCTCATAATCAACACCAAACTCTTGACGAAAACCTTGAGCGACTACTCTGGCCTTGAACCTTTCTAGAGACCCATCGGGATGCATCTTCACATTGTACACCCACTTCGAGCCAATCACTGGATGACCAATAGGACGCGGGACAACATCCCAAGTGTGTTGAGCTTCAAGAGCACGAGTTTCCACAGCCATAGCCTCGTCCCAATCAGGATGACCCTGTGCCTGCTTATATGTAGCCGGAACAACAACAGGAGCTGTGGAGAAAGCGAAATAGTCCGCCATCCGAATAGGGGCTTGGCCTCTCGTTATCCGCGTTGACTGGCGAAGAGGAGGATCAGGGGGAGTGCTCGGAGGGGGCGAATCATGATGGGAAGAGTCGGAGTGGGAGGTAGCTGTAGAGGTAGCTGTCGAGGGATCGGCAGGGGTGGAACTAGATGATGCAGATGAGGATGGTGGAGTTTGTTGGCCTGTAGGAGGTGATGGGGGATCATTATTACCTGAATCATCCATGGAACTTGAGGGAACAGAGAATTCCAAGGTTGGTAGAAGAAAGGCCAAATCTTCACGAGCTCCTTGTGCATGGTCATCATAGTAATTCATGTTCTCGAGAAAGGCCACATGACAAGAAACCCGGATACGACGATTGACTACATCGTAACATACGTAGCCCTTGTGTTTGTCACTATATCCCACAAATACACACTTAACAGCTTTAGGCGCAAGCTTATGACACTCACGACGAGGCAACAGAACGTAGCAAACACAACCAAACACCTTCAACCAACCATAGTTTGGACGCTTATCATACAGGACCTCATATGGACTTCGATGAGATAAGACTGGAGTAGGCTGTCGATTAATGAGATAGACGATCGTATGTATAGCCTCGACCCAGAAGCTCGAAGGAACGCCAGAATGAAAGAGAATCGCCCGAGTGAGCTCAAGAACATGCCTATGACGTCGTTCAACTAGCCCATTTTGTTGTGACACGCCTGGACAAGACTGCTGAGGGAGGATTCCACGAGCTTTAAAAAGAGAGAGAAGGGGACCAGAAGTGAACTCACCACCTGGATCTGAACGGATTATCTTAACCTGTCACCCAAACTGAGTATGTATCATTTGCAAAAATTCAGTAGCTGCTGCGAGAAGATCAGATTTTTGTTTAAGAAAATAAACCCATGCAAATCGCGTGGCATGATCAATAAACAGGGCAAAATACCGATAGCCCATACGCGACGTAGTGGGTGAGGGTCCCCACAAATCTGTATGCACTAAGTCAAAGGGTTCAGAGTAAACCGTAGTGCTGGAACTAAAAGATTGCTGAGATAACTTAGCTTCCAAACAATGCACACAAGTACTAGAACAATCCGCAGAATAAGAACCAGATAACACTTTGTTCTTGAACATCTCAATCAAACGAGCAGAATGAGGATGACCCAGTCTACGGTGCCACAAATCCCAATTTGACAAAGTAACTGAAAACCCAACTGACGGAACTGACGAATTCAAAAAATCACTACTCGCAGCTGGAGACGCTGCCGCCGACTCCAACACTCCTGAATCCGAGCTGCAGACATCCACCATCGAGGTACAAGACTCCTCCTTCAGCTGATCCAGGGTGTACACTCTCCCCCGTTTACTCCCGTGGCCTATCTCCGTCCCCGTTCTCTTGTCCTGCACAGTGCAACCATGTGCATCAAAAATGATACGACACCCATTTTCAGCCAACTGCCCCACGGACACAAGATTAGGAACCAGTTTGGGAACATAAAGAGTATCCCTGGGATTTAAACAAGAACTACGAATAGTGCCAACACCATGAGCAGGTAAACAAGTACCATCAGCAACCTGGAGTTTAACAGTGCTATGAGGGCTAAGAGTACTAAAGGAGGATAGGTTACTCGTCATGTGATTAAAAGCCGCTGAATCTAGAAGCCAAGTACGAGAGGGACGAGAAGGCGTACCAGCTGTAAACATAGACCCCAATGCAGAAGGAAGAATGTCATGAACAGCTTCATTTAACATGTGACGGATAGAATCGGACAGGCTCCGATTTTGTGACCCTCGGCCTTACAATAATTACAAGAGTTTCTTTTCGGGCAATGGAGTTGAACATGGCCTGGCTCCCGACAGTAATAACAGATGACCTCACTGACCGAGGAACGCTGAAATCGTGGTCTCTCTGGCCTAACCGCAAAAGCCTGCATAGCAGTGGAAGAATCCCCCACCGCAAAAACAGCAGCCGAATCCGCACCGTGAAGATCCAACTTAGCCTGACTCCGTAAGCGAGTTTCCTCGCGAATTAGCTCGCCCAAAACATCTTCAAGCTTCGTAGTATTACGATGCAGCAAGGAGGATCGAATACCTTCAAATTCAGGACGGAGCTTCATCAAAAAATGCATCATACGAGAGCTGGCTCTCTCCTGAAGCACCTCAGTGGTAGCAGCACTAGAAATAAGGGAAGCTGTTAATAAGTCATGCTCCATCCATAGACGGGCAGCCTCTTGATAATAGATCCGAACGTCCATATCACCCTGACATAGTCGAGCAATCTCGACCTCCAACTCGAACTTCCGAGAGGCGCTAGTTTGAGAGTAAAGCTCCGTTAGGTGACGCCACATAGCGTGAGCGGAGGAGAAGCCTCGCAAACTCAATGCGATCGCCGGATCCACCAAACTCAGGATCCAGTTGGTAACCTGAGCGTTGTGAATCGCCCATTCATCCCGCACCTTTGCATCAGCCGTGGCAGCCGGCTCGGCCTGAGTCCCATCGAGGATAGAAAGCAAGCGCCTACCTTGGACAAATACCCTAAACTGAAATTCCCAGAGCTGAAAGTTCTTCCCATCAAACCTCACCGAAACCCCATCTAGCCTGGACGATTCCATGATGCCAGAAAAAACGAGCAAAAAAAATCCAACTGAACAAGAACCTGTAGCCTGGAAAAGACCCCGCAACCTGAATAGATAGCCAGCCAAAAGAAACAACAAAGAGAGCCACCAAGAGATAGAGCCGAAACCAAACAACAGCACCGAAGAGAGAGTCCGAAACCCCTGTAAACGTCTGACCGAAAACCAAACAAAACTGCAGCCTAGTCGCCGAAGAGAAAATCCAAAACCCCTGAAAAGCCTGAACCCGTCGCTGCTATACCCGCTGCCAAACCCCTTCCAGAATAAACCCTTTTCAATCCCACAGCACAATAAAAACCAAAAGCAGATCCAAACCAGAAGAAAAAGAAGCACCGACGCAGCTACGCAGAAGAGTAACCCTGCGCAGACCAAGCCAGCAGTGAAACAGGACTGAAACCCACGAGAATTACACCTGAGGCTCTGATACCATGTAAACCAAGGCAAAATCAGAAGAACACAGCGGATTAACGTGGTATCCTCAACGAGTATCGTTGAGACTAATCCACGGAGAGGACCAACCTCTCAGAGTCAATCGTATAATCTTAGCCGAAGAATTCTTAGGTTACAACAATGACGGCAGCTCAACTTATATACTCCACCGTCTAACCCTATCTCAGCTTATACGTAATTAAACATAATTACAATATGCTACCTATACTTCTAACAGGACTTTCCCACTAAAGCTCAACTAGTATCTCTTCTATAACCAGATTTACTGCAATGAAAAGATGCCTCACAAATTGAACTTAAACTTATCCTACACTTTATTTTTAAGCTAGTATGGCAAATCTTCGAATGAAAATAATGTCTTGATGGGTATAATTTTTTAGAATTTTTCTAAAGATACAATTCACCCTTTGATTTTTTTGAAAACACGACTCTTTTGCAAAACTCAGAAATCTTTGAATAGATTAAATAACATGGCATTCAAACGCATCAAATGATTATAACATCCCATCGACTATCGCATCTTCATAGCCACTATGGTATCCTCCCTAAATCAAGTGATGATTAATTACTAGACTCATTGATTCAGAGTAAGATGAGAAGTGATCATGCTTGTAGGGGATGACTAAAGTTATTAGATGGAAAACATTTTTAGTTCTTTCAAATTCATTTAAGCACATATCATAACCATTGTAACATTGAAAAAATTTCAAATTCTCTAATTTTAAACAATTAATCATTTAGCAAGTAATCAGAATATCAAGGTAAAACATATCAACCAGTCCCACTACACACTTTAAAATTGACATTGTCCTCAATGGATTAAAAGATAGTGAGTGGTTGGAATAAGTTACCTTGATTCTTGTTCATAATTCAAATTCATCATTTATAGCAGCTAGTTCTTCAATATTGTTTTGAAGAGACTTGAAATGTCAAACAAAAGAAAATTAAAGGGAAGGGTTTCCTAAAATCTAAAAATCCTACATGTTGAGTCCTTCTTGTTGTGGTCCACTTCTTGGGAAGAGGGTCATGAAAGATCTATCAAAGTCCTTTATCCATGAGTGGCTCCATTGATGCTCTATCTCCAATCTCCGGAGCCAAGATCGAGTCTCCTCAAGCTCCATTTGTTTCTCATGCTCAAGGTCATCCCAATGTTGCTCGTTCATAGTCTGGTAGTTGGTCAGGTTCTCCTCTTGCCTCACTATGGATTCTCTCAACTCTGATAGCTGGAATCCATATTCGTCATGTTAAGGTGGTGGTGGTGGGTGTCCAACTCCAAATCCATGCTCAAGTAGTCTCATTAGGTGCACAGTTGGTCTCCCTGATACCGTCCACGCAGAGTATTGTGGGAAAGTATTGTTGGAAAGGTCCACTCTCTTGCTTGTCACCTGTCGACTCCACAGGTTAAAGCGGTTGATGATAGATTGGTCCTTCCCTCGCCAAGGTGTCCCATAGACAAATCCATACTCCTCCCTATGCTCATCAATGTGATGGGCTATGGTGTAGATATAGGCATATAGCCCCCTCTTGGAAGTCCTCATGGATAGGGCTGGTAATTGGTCAGTACCGGTATAACTAGTTATCGGTATACCAAAATGACCAAATCTGTTGCCGACAACCGATAGTGGGTAACTTCCAGTATACTGACTAATTGGCTTGCATGTAAAGGTTACCGTTCAAGATATCGAACAACTGGTTTGACTTCCTCTCCTCTCGATGAATGGGGAAACTTCCAAGGCAAAGCAGCAGCTTCGACGGGTCTGCTACAGCAACTTCTTAAACTTCAAATCAAAGAAAAATCTGACAGTAAGAAAGAGGCAATATCCAAGACCCATTCTCCATCTGCTAGCTCCCTAGGGCTGTTCACCAATGAATCCTTTGTAATCGGAGCAGTGGAAACTAGAAATGGAACCTAGTTTTACGACGACATGTGGAAACCATCATATCCCGGCGACAGATCCGAATGTGGAATCGAGAGGGACTAAGAACCGCCGCTTGAGAGAGACAATATGGCGTCGAATCTGGCCTCGGAGGAAGAGAGAGTCACCGTGTGAGGGGGTTAACATGGCGCCAGATCTAGACTCAAGAAGGAGTGTGATTCGTCGTCGGCATGTTAGAATATGGAATCGAGATGGAATGAGAACCAACTCGCGAGGTAGTTTGCATGGCGCCGAATCTGGAATTGAAACCGAGAGCTAGGGGTCGGATCGGGTTCTGGGTTCTCCATAATGGCAACGACAGAGGAGTGGAGAAAAGCAGTGGTTGGCCAAGCGAATTTTAGATCAACAAATCAGCTATGAATTGGTGACCGTGTATCCCTCTCAAGAGTCAAGATGACGAACCAGCAACATCATGGTCCAGATCAACAAATCGAGAAAGAGATGAGAGGGTTTCGTACAAATCTCTCACAACGAGGTTATGTTTATGGGTTCAGAGAGAATTTTTTCTTAAGGGATATGGAGAGAAAGGAGAGAACATATCGAAGGATAGAGGAGGGGGCTTCACCTATATCAGTATATCCGGTATATCGAGTAATGATAGACCGTTAGTTACACATGTTTTCACCCCTGTTCTTACACCATTTGAGAGGTGGTTTCTCGTGTTTTAGACCGATTTCACGCTAGGTTGTGCTTGTTTGTGATATTTCAGGTCCTGGCAAGTGAATGAAGGTTTAGGAGCGAGTTCGGGGTCGATTGGGTGAAGATCGGGCGCGAGACAAGTTACAAAGGAGGTCACACGGGCTGCCCTGATGTTCACACGGCCGTGTGAAGTAATGGCCTGGCCGTGCGAGTTTTGCCGAGAGCACACACGGGCAGAGCAGAGGATCGACACGGCCGTGCAAGTGGCCGGGTTGGCCGTGCCACATTCTGCGAGAGCAAACACGGGCAAGAGGGGATGTCCACACGGCCGTGCCATTCTGGCCGTGCAAAGAGCCTGGAATTCGAACTAAATGAAACGATGCGTTTTGACTCACACGGGCAACTGGGTGAGCTGCACGGCCGTGCCACCCTGGCCGTGTGAGTCGGGATTTTCCCCTTTTAAGCAGAATTTCAGCCACAATTCGAGAGGATTCTGGTTTTTGAGAAAGAGAGCGATTTCTAGAGAGAGAAAGCGACGAACAAGAGTCTCCAAGTGCCCTAGATTGATCTTCAACACCATTGGAGGCCAGTTGGAGCTTGGAGAAGTGCCAATCAACGTCCAGAAGTAGGAATCCATCCTTTGCAGTATGAATTCCGTGTCTGATTCTGCTTTTGCTTTCTTCTCTATGGAGTAGTTCTCCCATTCATCTGGGTATGGAGAACCCTAGATTTGTGTGTTAGGCTTTGATTGTATGAACCCAAGTACTGATTCTGTGATTGATTATATTCGATTGAGGTTTTAATGATTGAATGACTTGAATCCTGATCAAATTCTTGTTGTTTCTGCTTTAACCTAGAATGAGAATATCTGCCTAGGTTAATAGAGTATCCTTGATTGAAGGTAGGGAGTTGGTGACTTTAGTCGAGGAGCCAACTCACTATTCTGTACCGGATTTACTCCGGTAGTGGAGGTTTTGTTCTTAGGGCCTCAATCTGTCTACTCCGGTGGAGGTTAGTCGCCCGCTAGAGAGTCAGATTAAGAGGGTCTGAAGACCTTTAGTCGAGACTTCAGGCTGTTTAAGAACCTTTCGCAGTATAACTATCATAGAAACTGAACTTGGTAATTACAATCCGGCTTAACTGCAGTCTAGGGGGAACCATATCCGGGTGACCTCTTTAACCTGAATACAACCAGTTTACTTGCTTTGTTTGTTTGGTAGTTTAGACTTGCACTCCAGTTTTATTGCTAGATAACAAGAACTCACTGAGTAGTCAGCAAATCTAGGACCCGGGTTGACATATAAACCTAACCCGCTATACTACGCTTTAGGAAGTGGTTTCACTTGGCCAATTCCTAGGGTGACAGTAGAGTCGAGTCAAGTAACCACCATTTACTAACCAGTTATGGGTCGTATACCGACGACTGGGTTTTGTCTACCATATAACGTTACCGTTGATTATTGATTTAATCGATAACCACCGGTTACCGGTTAAATAGTTAACCGGCTAACTGATTACCAGCCCTACTCGTGGAGAAGGAATATATGTGTACCTCAATAGGTACACTACCAACAATGTTGGGTGCAACCACCAGTTGTTCAGCAAAGCATGATACAAGATCATGTCACTAGTGGTCACCTTCCCAACATCTCCCTTCTGCCTCATGTTAAACCTGGTTTGACCAAAGTAGCACACCAACATGATGATTGGCATCTGGATGATGGTCGATGAGGAGTATCTAGAATCAAACTTTTATCCTTGATCTCTTGTTATCATCTTCTAAAGCTTCCGGAAGATAGCCATCTGCATCGTGGGCTCCCAATAAGCTCCAAGGATGGCAATTAAGAGTGGTCCTCTCCCGTGGTAGGCCGGGATCCCTAGCTTCTCGGTGAAACTATTATAATTTTTAGTGAAGTGTCGTCCCACCAATCTGTAGGAGATGCACCTCTGGATTGAGTCCCCTGTTGGACTCACTTAGGGATGGCAATGAGCTGGGTTGGGTTTTGCCAAACTTGAACCCAAACTCATGGGTATATCTACCAACACGCTAGGTATCTGCTGGTTTATGGAAACCCATGGGTTATGTGATAAAAATGCACAATAACAAGTTCCTACCAAAATAAATGTCTAACATCATTCTTCCTATACAAATTATCTAAACAAAAAACACCAATCTAAAGTATACAAGTAAATCGCAAAGTATCCGTACAAATTGTACAACATTAAAGATAAACATTCATAAACATCATGATTAATTTAAAACTTCTTCCTCCTTGTCAACTAAGCTTCTTCACTCTCCACTCCATAATATCAACTACATTTTACACAATTAGGGAAAAAAAATTAGACATGTCTCCACAAACATAACGAAGATTAGTATGAGGGAATGCCCAATGGGAAGTGGGTAAGGGATTCGTCATTGGCGACGTGTACGGGTGGGAGCGGGTTGGATATAGCTAAACCCAAACCCAACGCACAAAATAGTAAATGGGTTTAAAGCCAAACCCATCCCATAATCCGTCAATGCGAGTTTTATCCGCATTGACCGGGTTGGGTCCCCGTAGATAGGGATGGCAACAAAATCCGAATCCGCGTTGATGGATTTTGGGCCGGGTTCGGGTTTAAACTCGTTCATTATTCATCGGGTTGGGTTGAGTTGGGTTTAGGTATACCCTCCCCAAGAATACCCGCCCACACCCATATAATTAATTTTCCCAGTATATTTAATATTCTAAGCAACTAATCTTCTTTATGTTTGTGGTGACTTGTTTAATTTTTTCTTTCTAATTGTGTAGAATGAAGTTGATATTATCGAGTGGAGAGTGAAGAAGTTTAATTGACAAGGAGGAAGAAGCTTTCAATTAATCATGTTCTTTATGGATAATTTGTGATTTGCTTCAATTTTCTTGAGTTTCTTAGTTGATGTTGAACAATTTGTATGGTTAATTTGTGATTTGCTTGAATTTTCTAAATGGGTGCTTTATATTTTGATAATTTGTAGTGAGAGATTGATATTTTAATTTTATTTTAATAGGAACTTGTTATTGTAAATTTTTTACGAAAAATACCCATGGGTACCCATGTGTAACACCCTACCCTATACGTTTTGCCTAATCATATTGTTCATACAATTGCAGCGGAAATAATCTCGGGTGTTACATTAATTATCAAAATTTACCTAAATAAAATTTCGACATGAATTACTCGCGTAATGGGCTAACAGTTCTTGCAACTTGTCCTGCAAAATAATTCATCACAAACATATATACTCAAACCATATACATGGACTTACATAGCCATAGTCACAGTTTCATACTACACAACTGCATACCGAACTTATACATACCATAATCGTCACAACTTACACAACCACATAAATATACACATATCATTAACTTTCCACACCTGTGGATATCTCACACTACATCAGAAGCTAGTATGCATATGAAAAACGTTCTCAAAACATTTTTACAAAAAGGTGTGGATCACTGGCCAAAATCCCAAGTAGTAGTCCAAGCACAGAATAGTTGAAGACCATACCTCATCCTGGCTTCAACTCTAGCTCCTCTCCCACCTAACACTTATCTACTGCTGCTGCTGATGATCTGCTTACACATAGCATAAGCAGAGAAGAAGAATAAAAGAGGGTCAGCTCATAGCTGAGTGAGATAATCATAGCATCGTGAGTTCATAACAGAGCATACCCCTATCATACATCTAACAATCAAACCAAAACACTAGGATCGGACCTCAGCCATCCTCATATCCCAATAAGCAAAAGACTCAACCACTTTGACTTATGCATATGCATCTTATCATGTTTTAATCATAGGCGCCTGGCTACTCCCATGCTAATAACTCTCCCGGGAAACATACCCCACATCCCGTCGGATGTAGTCATACATACCCCAACATCCCGTCGGATGTGGTCATACATACCCCACACCACTATGGGTGTAGTCATACCCCGACACCACTCTGGGTGTGGTCATATCTCGTAAGAATTCTTCAGTCACCACCACATGAGAGGTGTGACTATCATATCATAATAGAGTAATAGCATAGGGAGCCCTAATTACTATGTAGTTGACCGTGAGACCACAACACTCATATTTGGTATCCTTATACATGATTCATATCTCATCTTGCTTAATCATAATTCATTACTTGCACATGTACTTGACCTGGCCATAATTGGCTCAACATAGGTAAACCAGGAGTCGTATAGTTGCACTTCCTCGGGATAAACCCTCGTGCAAGTCATCCTCCTTAAAACATCATGATATCACCAGGGAATATATATTTTCCCACTTATGCATCCAAATACAACAATCATGAAAAATCATATCCAATCACCTTCTCGAACCAACATAAGGCATATTCACAATTAAACCCACATCTGGCAACATATATGGAATTATCAACATAAACAAGGTCCATATCGATTAAGGCAAGTCAATAATATCATACAGAAGCCTATAGTTCATCATATAGCAGAGAAGTCCATACACCCATAATCATGCCATTCTAATTCACCTAGGTCAATTCTAAGCATCAATATAATTATCGTGATACGACAAACCCGGTATGCCGTGCTAATCCCTCACCAGTTCTGGTAGTTCAAACACCGGTTTAACCTTCCCGTACTAAAACGTCAATTTCTCGAACGAACCCCGAATTAAAATCCGAGACCGTCCTAATATCCCCTGCAGTATCCCCGTCAATATTAGTTCTGGGCTCCGGGTCAAATTCTCGATAAAAACACATCAAACCCTGGCCGGAGCTAAATTCAGCGGGTTGGACCCTGGCCTAAATAATAGCCGAAAATCAGGAATTAGAACTAGGGGATTGATTACCTCGCTGCAAGAAGCTCGTATATGAAATTTGGGCTCAATCCGGCTTCCGGATACTCCGAAACCCTAATTTGGCTTATCGAGAATTCAAGAAATTCCTGAACCAAAAACTCGTTTTAAAGCTCTAAATCGATAAATCACGATGAATGGATGAATTAGGCATTACTTACGGGATTTTTGGATCACTGTAGCTCAAGAATTTGAGCTTTGGAAATTCTCCTGGCGATGCTCTGTGCGCCTCTTGCTCGTCTGTTTTTCTCCCGATACGTGAAGAAAGAAAGAAGAAGATGGGAAATGAAACGGTGCTCGGATTTAAATGTACAGGATATATATATATATATATATATATATATATAATTAATACGTATACTTATCCGATCGATCAATAATCCGATTTTCGCCGAAATAGTGTCGAAATGCTCGATTTTAAATCGCGAACTTTCTAGCGATCGAAAAATGGGTTTTGCCGGAACGGGATGTTACAATTCTCCCCTCCTTAAAAGATTTCGTCCCCGAAATCTAACCTTGAGTCGTACTCTAACTCCTCTTACTAACCCTTAACATGATCTATCATACATAAAGTCATTACCTAACTCTTAGGTCAGGCAATTCATAACATAGAAAGTAACATATAACACCTCAAGTTCCCATGTTTAGGTTTCAAAAACCTATACTGGGCTATCACAACAAAAGCACATCAACAAGTTCAAAACATAACTTATTAAGCAAGATTGTTAACCTGCAAAGTAGGTTGCTACTAACTCAGGGTACTTCTCTCGCATACTTGCTTCAGTTTCCCAGGTAGCACTCTCACTTTCTTGATTTCTCCAAACCACTTTCAACATTGGGATTTCCTTCCTACGAAGATTCTTAATCTGAAAATCAATAATCTCAACTGGAACCTCCTCAAAAGTCAAATCTGAACCCAACTCGATCTCTTCCGGTTGTATAACATGGGAAGGATCCACTTTGTACTTCTTCAGCATACTAACATGAAATACATTGTGGATTTGGGATAGTTCTGGAGGCAATGCTAACTTATAAGCCACTGGTCCAATCTTCTCTGTGATTTCATATGGCCCAATATATCGAGGTGCAAGCTTTCCTTTCTTACCAAATCTCATCACCCCTTTCCATGGTGACACTTTGAGAAATACTTTCTCACCCACTTCGAAATGAACTTCACGCCTATTCGTGTCAACATAAACTTTCTGCCTATCTTGAGCCACCCTCAAACGCTCCCTGATTTCCTTGACCTTATCAACTGTGATCTGAACTATCTCTGGCCCTGAGATTTGCCTTGCTCCTTCTACATCCCAACATAATGGTGTTCTACACTTCCTCCCATAAAGTGCTTCATATGGTGGAACACCCAAGCTACTATGGTACTGATTGTTGTAAGCAAACTCAATCAAGGGCAAATGGTCAATCCATGATTCTTCCCATTGCATTACACATGATCGGAGTAATTCCTCCAAGGTTAGGATGGTTCGTTCACTCTGCCCATCTGTTTGAGGATGATAAGCTGAAGTAAAATGTAATTTAGTTCCCAAGGCATCATGTAAACTTTGCCAAAACCGAGATGTGAAGCTCGGGTCTCGATCAGAGACAATAGAAATTGGCACACCATGCAATCTGACGATCTCCTTAATATATATTTGAGACAAAGTCTCCAGTGATGGTTTCCACCTAATGGGTAAAAAGTGAGCCGATTTGGTTAGTCGGTCCACAATAACCCATACTGCATCCTTTCCCCTTGATGATGGGAGACCATATACAAAATCCATTGTGATTCTTTCCCACTTCCATTCTGGAATTGGAAGTGGTTGCAGTTTTCCCACAGGAGCTTGATGTTCTGCCTTAACTTTCTGACATACTAGACATGTGAAAACATGTTCAGCCGCTTCCTTTTTAATCCCACGCCACCAAAAACATGGTTTGATCGTGTGATACATTTTAGTTGCTCCTGGGTGCATAGCATAAGCAGAAGAATGAGCTTCATCTAGGATCTCTTTCCTCAAATTATCAACATTAGGAACACATGCTCTTCCATTCATCTTCAACATGCCATCTACCATTTCAAATGGGCTTTCTTTTCCTTCCTCAATGTCTTGAATGATTTTTGCCAACTCTGGGTCCTCCTTCTGCTTCTCACGAATTTTGTCGTGCAACAAAGGTCGAATGTTCAACCGAGC